TCCTCCTCCTCCTCCGCTTCCTCCCCCCGCTCCTAGCCCTTTCGATCAGGGTCGGCGGCACCGGCTGTCAGGCCTCTCCAATAAAACATGCCCCCCAAATGGTCAACATATATAAAAAAATTGTCAAAGGATCGTCCCCAGACTATCTTGGAATATTGTTCCTGTGGAGGGACAGGCCCGACGTAAGGCCAGGGCGGGCCTCCCCTCCTCCTCCCCTCCTCCTCCTCCTCCTCCTCCTCCTCCTCCTCCTCCTCCTCTTCCTCCTCCCCCTCCCCCTCCCCCTCCCCCTCCCCCCTCCCCTCTCCTCCTCCTCCTCTCCTCCTCCTCCTCCCCTCCTCCTCCTCCTCCTCTTCCTCCTCCCCCTCCCCCTCCCCCCCTCCCCCTCCCCTCCTCCTCCCCCTCCTCCTCCTTCTCCTCCTCCTCCTCCTCCTCCTCCTCCTCGGCCAGGGGCGGGCTCTCCTTCCAGATCTACTGCTCATGGCCCCCGAGGGGGCCCGACGGCGGCCCCCCAGGGCCAGAACTTCGGGGGAAGACTCACCTCCGTATCGACCCTCGATCGACCAGGAAGCCTCGATGGATCCTCGACCCTCGATCCTCGATCGATCAATCCTCGAGCTTCGCTCGATCGAGCCTCGATCGATCCTCGCCCACTCCGTCGATCCTCGATCTATTCTCTGATCAATCGAGCCTCCATCGACCAACAGGTCGCCAAGAGCCCACGGCGGCGGCGACGGCGGCGGGCGCTCCAGGCTCGGGGGAGACGCAGGGCGCGGGTCCGGGGACTCGGGCTGGCCTGCTGGGGCCGTCAGGAACATGACGAGACTCCGTCTGAAATCCTAGCGGTCCTCTGGGCGCAGATGGTTTCCTCTTCCAGCTCCCTTCTTCCCTTTTGGGGAGGGGGCTTACCCCTCCCCCCCCACGCCCTCCCCTGGACCTGGACGCGGGGGGCGGCGAGGCGCTGGACCTGACGGGGCCGTCAGGAACATGGCGAGACCCCGTCTGAAAATTGACGCGACGGCAAAACCCTGAGATCCGGCGCGGCGAAAAAACAACGGCATCGTAGCACAAATCGCGCCGGGAGCCCCAGCTTGGACGCCCATTTCGGGTCGGGCGAAAGGGGGGGATAGCAAAGGGGGGGTTTGAGAATCAGCTCGCGTAGCTGATTTTCCCGGCGCCTCCCGGCGCCGGGAGGCGCCCATGTATCGAGGAATGGGCCCCTCGGTGGGGCCGAAACCATCTGCATGCAGCAAATTTCGTAACCCCCCCTTTCCCAATCCCCCCCCTTTCGTCCGGCCCGACCATTTCGTTCGCGCAGACCCAGACCCAAACCCCATTCGTTCCCATTCTGGGTATTGCACCCCTTCTTTCCGTGCCCAGCTCGATCGCCCAAAGAGCCCCAGGCCCCGCCTTCCTGCGTCCCCCTGCTCGCGCCGGATCGAGCCGTGAGGGCCCCGCGGGGCCAGGAGAAAGAGAGGCGCAGACCGCCTGGCCCGGAAAAGAAGTGAGACGCCAGGCGCTCCGCAGAACAAGGAAGCAAAATAATTAAGAAAAAAAGTAAATAAAAAAGTTGTTTTGTTTAATTATGATTATACTGAATGGTATTCACAATGGAAGTCATCAGAAAAACTTGTGGCGCTCCGCGCGGGTCTCCTGGATCCGTCCGCGCGGGGCGCCAAAAGTTTGTGCTTATGGCGTCTTTCTCTTCATCGGCTCAGAGACCTCGAGCCCTGGCATCAAGTCGGGCCTGTCCTCCTGCAGGTACAGGGGGATTTCGGACGAAAAATGACAGATACACCAGACATGCTCCAAAATGGTCAAACAATGATCTTAAAATGGTCCCCAGACTATCTATTGATTATTCGTGAACGTTCCCCCTGTAGAGGGACAGGCCCGACTCAATCCTGGCAAGCTCGAGTCTCGCGTTTCCCCCGCCGGAGGGCGGCGGGCTGCCTGCGGCGCGCCGCCCCAGCCCATGCCGTAGGCGGCCTGCGGCTGCCCCTGCGGCGGGCCCCAGGCGGGCGCCGCCTGGCCGGCGCCGGGAGGCCCTCGGAGGCCCCGGGTGCGGGCAATGTCTTTATCCACATCCAGTGCGTCTTGGAGTTTCGGACACTCTTCCCAAGAAACATGATGCACTGGATATGGATTATAATCTGCCTCCAAGAGGCTCAATTGTTATCCATATCCAGTGCGCCTCGGCCTTGCGGCGCCCCTTCCAAGAAAATCCAAGACGCACTGGATATGGATATAAATATTGCCCGCACCGGGAGCGCAAGGATCGAATTCTCCGAGACAGAAATTGGACGCCCGAAATGGGTACGGGAAAAATGGGCACAGTGCCCAACAACGAATGTTGCCCCAAACCCACAGCGGCCGCTGTCGGGCAGGCGGCCTTCTGTCTCAAGTGTACACAGGCCGCGGCGACACCGACAGCGAGTCCTGTTCAAAATGAGCAAGATCTACTGTTGGGCATTGTACCCATTCTTTCCGTACCCATTTCGGGCTTCCAGACAGCGAGCAGAATCACCAGCCTCACAGCAGTAGCAGCAGCAGCTGCGCAAACATGAGCTTCAGGGGCTCCGCGCGGATCTCGTGGATCGGCGCTGGACCCCACTCCCTGGTACACTCCACGCGCCAGGGGAGGCGCCGGAGGCGCCGCCAGGGGAGCCGGACGCCGATCCAAGAAATCCGCACAAAGCGCTGCCAACGTTTGTGTATGACGCTTTTCTGAAGAATAAGCACCGCGACAAAAGACGCCGTTTAACAAACGTACCCGGAGAAGGAATCAAGTAAGGCACAGCTGGTTAGTTCACGCCCAGGACCGTGCAATAGGCGCCGCTTACAGGGGTCGGGTGGTTTTCCTCGCTTGACCGACTTTCGCGCATGGCGCCCCGCGGTTATCTTCGCGCCCTCGCGCCGCCCACTTGGATGAAAACAACTGCTCGGGCCCAGACCGCGATGTGCGAAGCACGACCTATCTTCCCGCTCCTGCGGATCACCTGGATTCAGGGATCGCGAGGGTAGGATTCTCGGCCGCTCCATTTCGGCAGACCCCCCAGACGCTTCGTGCCCCCCGCGGCCACGCGACCAAGTAGCCCAAACGGAGACAATCCTCGCGCCGCCAGCCAGAGACAACCTCCTCCTGAAGATGGCTTCTGCTGGCGGCAAACACTCCGGAGAACGCATGTCTCTAGTCCACTCCGGTGCCATCCAAGGCGTGCTCTCCTAGTGCGCAAATGGAAGTCCATCCAAATCGGTCCATGGCGCATCGGGCCGCGTCTATTGGGGGCGCATGTTTTACTTCCGCCGCCTTCCGCCAGGCTTCCGCTGGCTTTCGCCGGCGGAGCCGCCGTCGTTTTACTTCCGCCGCCTTCTGCAAGCCTTACGCCGAGGAAGAGATTGCAACTACTTCGATCCTCGAAGGCAAGGCCCTGTTGGAACGCCCCAAATGATGCCGCGCTTCCCCGACAAGGGAGAGCACGTAGGCATCGTTCTTGAATGAGCTGCTGGGGATACGCGAAATATCAGAAATCGATCGGGGACGGACGACTGTTCACGGGGGAAAGGGTCGGGACCTCTGGGGCAACGCAACGAACAGCAACCGACTCTGGCGGCAAAACAGCTTGAACAACATGCTGAAAGAACTGCCCGTCGGCCGGCAGTGCGCAGGCACATGACGTTGTGAGGCGTTGAAAGCAGAATTGGGCCTCCGCCCGCCCCCCGATGGGGGAGGAGGGAAACAGGGAAACCTGCTCGACTCTTGAAGTAGGAGAGCGCCTAAAGCAGATTGGGGATCGGGGAATTCAGAAATACCTCCTTTCAACGACCGACGGGCACCCTGCAGTGCAGATGCGGAAGACCATATGGAACGCCGAGCGGGAGACCAGGCGGGAAGCCACGCGGGATGCTTTGCGGGCGACCGCGCGGGGCGCCATGCGGGAGCCCACGCGGAAAGCCACGCGGGTGGCACTGCAGGAAACCATGCGGGAAACCTTGCGGGAGACTATGCGGGACGCCGCGCGGGGGGCCATGCGGGAGGCCACGCGGGAGTCCACTCGGGAGGCCATGCGGGAAACCCTGCGGGAAACCATGCGGGAGGTCATGCTGGAGGCCATGCAGTAAACCATGCGGGAAGCCCTGCGGTTCTCATTTTTGCCCGAGAAACTGCACAAGCAACCCGTATAGACAATCTGTTTGAACGAATCACATCGTCGGATATCTGGGTCGGTGGCGCCGCCGCCGGCTCGGTCCGTGTCGTTTGCTGCTCACGTTCAGTGAGCACCAATACTACATGTTGGCACACATTCTGTCACCGTAGGGTAGAAGCTTCTGGGGCGCTGAAAAACGTCTTGCCAATGCATATCCACTGCTTGGGGAACCGCCACCGTCGTCGCCGTCGCCCTCGTCAGCCGTCTGTGGCCGCTTGTAGCGAAAGGCAACAGCAGAGAGCGTGGTGGATAGGGATGGTATTCCTCAAACCTGTAAACTTAGGCTGAGGTCGGGAGGGCTGTTCCTTTTGCACTTGTAATTTCTTGCGCACGTGCTGGGGCAATGCTTCCATACCCTTGTGTGTGCACGTCGTCAATCCGTCAGCTTGGCTCCATGGAGTCGGCCGAGGGACGACACGTGAGCCTGATACCAACAACAACATCTGCATCGACGTGATTCGATCGTCTGGCTTGCTTGTCTTCGCTTGATCGAGGGACGGGGGGGAACAGACTGCGTACGACGCGCGGCCGCTCGCAAGGCAGCTCGGTGCTCGCACATCGATGGCGGGCCCCCATGTCGGGGAGGGAAGGCCGGCGTCGTCTCCCGCCCCCTTCCCCCGCCTGTGAGCGGCCTCCCTGCGGACCGTGGCGCGCAGCCCCCGATGGAAGGGGGCCAGCACGAAGAAGCCCTCGCCAGGGAGGCCGGCGGGTCCTGGACCCCTTTCCGGGGGCCCTACGCTTCGGTCGGGCGTGCCCTCCCGCGGGCGCACGTGGGCGAAAGACAAAGAATAGTCAGAAAGTACCCCTCGATAATCAGAAGATAATAGACACATCGTCCCCGGAGTGCTTTTTGGCGGTTTTTTGGTGCTCCTCTTGTAGAGGGACAGGCCCGACTGGACCCTACACGCGCCCAGGACCGTCAAGATGCGAAGCGGGAGGAAAAGCGCCAGCCCAGGGGAAGGTCCCAGGGGCCCAGGACTCGTGCTCCCCCGAGGGCCATACAGTCCTCGGCCTGACCTGAGGAACGGTCAACAGGGAACGACGCCCCCTTCCTTTCCCAAGCAATCGCGCCCAAGGAACAATATATCATGAACAACGCGCAAGGATCAGGGGGACGTAAGACCTGGGTACAGGGGACTCGGAAATCCCCGACGAGGTCGTCAAAAAAATGACGAGGCCGAACCTGCATTTTGACGAGGCCTCCCGCTGCAGACATCCCACGAAACTCCTCCTCGCCAGAATCCGAGGCGCGGTCGTCAAAAAACGATGGCGAACCCGAGTCCTGGCAGACCCGGGCCTTACGCTCCCCCGAAAGGAACGAGACACAACGCACGCAAGCCCGAGGAACGACCGAGCCCCTCTTGAAAAAAAGCGAGCGCTCCTCAGCCCAGCCGCCCCCTGCACGGCGGGGGGCCCCCCCCCTCGGAAAGGGCACGCGGCGACCTCGCGGCGCTGGCCCTGCGCGGGCCGCCCAAGGCGGCGCTCCACGCGGGGACGTGGAGCGCCACCGTGCGCGGGGAACCCGCGCGCGCGAGCTCCCCGCGCCGTCGGCCCCGCTCCTTCGCGCCAGCGCCGCCCGGAGGAGGAAGAGGAGGAGGAAAAGGGGGGACGAGGAGGAGGAGGAGGAGGAGGAGGAGGAGGAGGAGGAGGAGGATCCGAAGTCGCGGAACAAGAAGCACCAACCACGAGATCGCGAAGCACCAGGACCGAGCGCTCTCCCACGCCCCAGCCTGTGGCGGCACTTCCAGAGCCGGGCCGCAGGGGAGGGTCAAGAGCCCTGACGGGGTAGCGACCTTAGTGGGCCCTGGAAACGACAGGGCCGTTTTTTTACCGGTTCCGTTTTTAACCAGTAAAAAACGGCGTTAACGCCGTTTTTTTACCGGTTCCGTCGCCGTTGTTTGACCGGTTCCGGCTCCGGTTCCAATCCTGGAGCCGTTTTGTTGCCGTTTCCGGTCGCCGTTTTTTTGCCGTTTCCATTTTCAAGGGACATTTTTCTGGAAACGGTGAAAAAAACGGCCCTGCCGTTTCCGGGGCCCACAAAGGTAGCGACGACCCGGTCTCCGACATTGTTGGATTTTTGACCGCACACATTCGGGGCCCCACTCGACACAAGGAAAGGAGGGGGCGCCCATCATCGGTGGGGGCGGGGCGTCCGAACAGCTCCCTGGCGGCGGATGCTCGAATGTCCTTTCCTTTCCGAGCCGCAAGTGGGCGGGAATCCGGGGGCGGGGGGCGAGGAAGTGCCCGCGGGACTCGCGTTCCACAGAAGCAACCTGCTCCACGGGCGGAGCATTGGGGGGAGGGCGGGCGGAGCATGGCCGCAGCGCGCCCGAAGAGACGCCGATTTCTCGCACGCGCGGCGGCCCGAGCTGATGCCAGAGCGCGTTTCTGGATCAAGAAGCTTGAACGATGGCGGCGGGGAGCAACAGGACGCACACTCCCCCCCCCTTGGGAAGATGGAGCGACGCGACGAGCGAGGCGTCTGTCCTGGGCATGGGCGTGGCGAACCGTGCGCGGACGCGCACCGTCGACGTCACGCTGGTGTTAGGTCGGGCGTGTCCCCTTACAGGGGGATTTTGGACCACAAATCCGCCGACCCCAGAGGCGTGTGAGGAAAAGTGCGTGCTCGAGCCTTTCATCGTGAGCTTCTCCTTTCAGCCATCCCCACCCACCACGACACCCCCAATCCTGAATCTCTAAGTATGGAGTCCTCGAACCTGCCACGCCCTCCTGGAACCCCCTTCCTGCTCATCCCCATCCCATGGAGCCTCTGTTCTTGGGACCCCCCACCCCACTATTCCTCGCCCAACACTGACTGCGCACCCCCCTGCCCCCGGCATCCCCACCCCATGGAGCCTCTGTTCTTGGG